AAGTTTGATAAGACAATAAGGAATTTTGGGTTTAAAGAGAATGTAGAGGACAATTATGTCTATGCAAAGTTTAAGAATGAGAAGTTTATCTTCCTAGTCCTATATGTGGATGATATCTTACTTGCTAGTAGTGATGTCAGTCTACTACTGGAGACAAAGAAGTTTTTGTCCTCAAAATTTGATATGAAAGATTTTGGTGAAGCTTCGTTCGTTCTAGGGATCGAGATTCATCGAGATAGAAGTAAAGAGGTATTAGGACTGTCACAAAAGGCATACATAGAAGAGATCTTAAAGAAATTCAGTATGCACAAATGTAGTCCCTCACCTGCTCCTATAGTCAAGGGCGATATATATGGGGATTTTCAATGCCCTAGGAATCAGTATGAGATCGATCAAATAAAAATGGTTCCATATGCTTTAGCTATCGGAAGCTTGCAATATGCACAAGTATGTACGCGCCCTGACTTGACATTTGTTACTGGATTACTTGGCAGATTCCAGAGCAATCCTAGAACAGAACACTAGAAATTAGTAACGAAAGTCTTGCGTTATTTGCAAGGAACGAAAAGCCTCATGATGACGTATAAAAGATCTGATTCACTCCATATAGTGAGATATTCAGATTCTGATTATGCGGGAGATGATAGAAAATCCACGTCTGGATATGTATTCACTCCCGCGGGGGAGCTATTTCATGGAAAAGCTCAAAGCAAACCGTCACTACATCGTCCACAATGTATGCCGAGTTTGTAGCGTGTTATGAGGCAACGGGGCAGGTGAACTGGTTAAAGAAGTTCATACCCAGTTTGAAGGTGGTTGATGACATCTATAGACTACTTAAGTTATACTGCGATAATAATCCGATAGTACAGTATGCTCACAACAATAAGTCAAGTGGTGCTGCTAAAGACGTTGACATAAAGTATTATGTTGTGAAAGATAAAGTCCGGGATCATGTCATAAGTCTTGAGCATATAAGTACTGAAAAGATACTCGCGGATCCGCTTACAAAAGGCTTACCACCAAACGTGTTCAGAGAACATGTAGCTAGCATGGGTTTAAGAGAAAGCCTAAAATTTCTGGACAAAAGAAGGCCCAAAGTTAAGTATCTATTTCAGAACAGAGCGTTGTATTGTAGCTGTTAAATCTATCGGCAATTGACCGTGACGATGAAACATGCTCTATGTGCTAATCTGTAATGGAATGAACAAAAGTAAATGATATAAAATTAAAAGATAGTAGTGAGATCAAGGAGGAGAATGTTAGTTAATCTCCACCAATAGGCCCAACGGTGGGGCCTACTGGGCACTTGGATCTGCGCCCTGATCGGGGGCGCCCAACCCTAATATGATTGGTGGGCTCCTGTCGCACAGCACTATAAAGAGAGGTGTGGATCAAGGCTCTGCCTACGAGGTTGACCGGAGCCGCCGTGACCCACCAACAGCTAAACCTAACTCGATCTAAAGAGAGTGCTGCCAGCGACGGGAAGACCCACTGACTTCGCCGTTGTCGCCTCTGCATCGCCAGCACTACGCTGGACTCCACCGCGCCGAGCTCCCACGACACCGGCGTCCATATGGCTACGGCGCATCTACGCCAGTGCAAAGTAGAGGAACCAATTTCTACATCTAAGTAAGATATTCACCCCCTGATCTACGTTTCAGAGATACACTGTTTCCTTCGGCAAGCATTTTGGGTTGAGAACTACATTGGCCGGGCTAGCTAGAAAAGCCTGTTTTGTCAAGGCTTGGGGCGCGGCTGAGACAGACCACGTTCAAATCATCTCCTGCTTCTCGTAAACGCCCGCGCCAATAATTATTCATTAGGCCAGGAACGGTGCCAATGATTATTGATTTTATTACTGACGCCAGGTCTGAATTTCCATGCCTGCCTCTGCCTGCTTCGTCACGGCAAACTGGGGAAGTAGCCATCGTGTCGTGGCCATATAGCGAATTAATCCTCTCCGCCGACTTCATGTATATTCCTCCTTCCCAGCACTGCGTTCAAACCTCAAGCGACGAGGTATAAAAGTTGAGGATGATCGCTGCTATATGTGCAACCGTGCGGGCGAAGATGGGAGCCATCTGTTCCTGAAATGCAAGCTAGTGAAAGCAGTATGGCGCAACGCTGGTATAGTGGTATGGAGGCCATAAGACTGAAACTGGTGGTCTGCTGTGATGCAAAGGAAGTGACAGAAAAGCTGCTGAAAATAGATGACGAGCTACAGTTGCGAGCCGTATTTCTTCTGAATAATTGGTGGTATGAACGAAACCGTGTCAGGGAGGGGGGAAAGCAAAGAACAGCTGCTGAAATTGCAGCTTTAAATGGGCGTCAAGCCACGGAGATCAAACAATTGCAGGCGCTAACAACTGAAGCTCCAGGGCATAGCAGGCAGAGTCCACGATGGGAGAGACCCCCAAGTGGCATGCTGAAGCTGAATGTTGATGGAGCTTTTAGGGAGGCTGACAAGGATGGTGGATGGGGCTATGTAATCCGGGATGAAAGTGGAGATGTAATTCAATCAGGTGCCGGGAAAGTGTCTCTTGCGATCAATCCGATGCATGCGGAACTCATTGCTTGTATGGAAGGGGTGAAGGCAGCGGCTGCCATTGGCATGAACAATATTGTCCCGGAGACCGATGCATAGCAGGTGGCGTGGGCGATACAGGGAGATGATTTCAGGCTTGCTGTGGTGGGCGGTTTAGTCCATGAATTCAAGGTTTTGTTAAGTGTGAGCTTTGCTTCCGTCCTTGTTAGATATGCTCCTCGTGAATGTAATAAAGTAGCACATGAACTTGCATCTATAGGGTGTAAGAGCCAGGGTTTGGCGCCTTTAGACCTTTAGTCATGGACGGAGTGCCTGACTGTATTATGTTTCTGGTGTCAGGCGATTTAGCCGACATGGTTGAGTAATGGAATGTAAATTCCTATAAAAAAAATGCATCTCGTTATCTAGAAATTAAAATTTTCTACATTTAACTAAATATAGTATATGCAAAGTGCGAATATTTATGATGTGTAATAAATATTATTATATTGATCACAAAATATATTATCAAATTAAATTTACTTAAAATGCAAATATTTACTATTTTATTTTCAATATAACTAGTCAAATTTGAAAAAAGTGTGACTCCCTCTATCACAAAAAATGTAATTTTTTAATTATAAATGTAGACAAATATTAAATTCATAAGCAAAAAAACGGAGAATATCCTGTTATTATATTTCATATGTCATGTATAGTATATATTAGCATTCTTTTTTTTTTGGAACAGATTAATAAGTGTAAATAAAAAGATTGATGCCTCTAGTTAAAACGACCACGTCATCTTTGCGTTGGCTGTCAGTGGAGAGATTACGAGATAATTTAATTTAGGTGCTTGAATAATCCTCTAGCAAATCTTTGCCTTGTCTTGACCAATGATAATCTACCAGCAGAGAGCCACAGACGAGCTCTCTTTGGACCTGTGCTGGCAATAAAAAAAAACTTTGCTAGCCTCTGACAAAGCGAGGCCTGCTCTTGCCGTAAAAGAATGCTTATATTTACATATAAATTGTAATAAATATCATGAAATACTTATATTATCTATACATGGTTGGTTAGTATACAACTTCCATTGTCTCCCTCGAATTAATTAGCTGCGACCATTCACTTGGTAAAACAATTTTTACTCCAGATCGAGAAGAACGTGTGCACGTATGCCTAATGCATTGCATCGGTCGTCACGTATACATAATATTCCTGTTGATTCGATGACACAATTATAACCTTAAATTAAAACAATTATATAATATATGCGCAGTCCATCCAATGACACAGCTAGATTGGTTGAAGAATGCGCATGCATGGATGATTGCGATGCATGGTGCATTATTGCCCAATGCGTATACAGCACTGGCGCTACCAGCAGGATAAGCATAAGCTAGCTCACTCGTGCGTACGTGAGGATGTCGATCAGTCCCCGTCAGCGAATGGTCTGTCCGTCTGCGCTCAAACAGGCGGCCGGTGCGCGGCCACGTGCACAGAACACACGCTTACATACAGTGTCACACCACTCATCACCACGCCGTCATGGCGGAGGAGCCCGGAACCCGGCGCCGCGCACTTGCCGCCGAGGCGCCGAGTGAGCATGCCGATGCCGATGCCGACGCTGACGCCGACATCCTTGCGTACGCACGCGCACAACGACGACGACCCTGCAGGTTTCCTGCTTGCGCTCTGGGCACACCGGACACGGGAGCCAAATCAACGACGATGCGTACGTCGTCCACCGCGCGCTGAAAATTGGCGTGCCGTACGTGCGTGCAGCTTGCTGTTACGTACGCACGCAAGTGTGGAGATTGGAACGGGCAATCTTAATTTGCCGGCCGGCACAGAGCGAGGCAGGCAGACACGGAACGCGCGCCCGCGGCGGCGGCGTAACACGGGTGCGTGGGCAACCAACGACGACGTCGTGGAATTTGTAACGGCGCAGCCCGCACGAAATCGGAAGGGGATCAGACACACACCACCAGGCACCGCCCCGTTCGGCTTACCCTATATTTAGCTTGTTCGGGTTATTTTTTCAGCCGGAACAGTGTTTTTCTCTCATAACAATTCAGTCAGAACAGTGTTTTCAGCCAGTTTCAGCCAAGTTTTAGACCAGCGAACGGGGTGAATTGATCAGCTTGCTTTTGGTTAACGATGACAAGAAAACAACTAACTGTCCCCAGTTAATTTGTACACTTGCAAACTAAACTCAAAGGAAAAAAGCTTGCAACACCTGCAAACCAGCTCAGAACACATGCAGACATGCAAGCGACTCCTGATTAAATTAGAGCACGCACACATGCAGCCTGTTCTATGTACATACCCTAGCTACGACGTTCGTCTCTATGCATGAGCACGACACATCTGTGTAAATAAAGGAGCGTTGATCGATCATTGACACACCTTTTGTCACCTTTGTGCGTACGTACGTACGTACATACATCACCAATAAGTGCCGTCGTCGTTTTTACCGTCTGCACGGCCGGTGGCTGTCGGCGGCGACGGCGCGGCAGAACTCGTCGGCGGCGCAGGGGATCCGCAGCACTCCCTTCTGGTCGTACCCGAACTCCCGCGCCGCCATGTCCAGCAGCGCTCGCACGCAGGGCTGCCCCAGCGCGCGCACGTCCACCACCACCCGCTCCTCCGGCTCCGCGACCCCGCCGCCGACCAGCACCGCCACGCAGCCGCGCGGCACGCAGCCCGCGCCCTTGCAGCAGCAGCCGACCGGATCCTGCTGGACCAGCCGCTCCCGCACCTCTTCCCCTCTGCATCTGCCGGAGCTCTTGCGCTTCCAGTTCATGCCGCCGCCGGCCGGCTGCCTGCCTGCCGATGCCGCGCCGCCCGTAGAGATGGCGATCGAGCGCACGGGTCGATGTCAATCTGGGTGCGAGGGAGAGTGTGTCTCGGGTCGTGACCGCCGCGCGCAAGCAGTGCTTGTGTCGTCTGAGAATGATGAGAGATGAATGGGAATCGTCCACAGCTCGTCGCAGCAGCCTGTATGTGTGTGATTTGCTTCAAGGCTTGGGGGCGTGTGTGCGTATATATAGGGGGATGAGTGGTCAACGTGTGAGGCGGTCGATCGGAATGTCAGGTGATTGGGACATTGGCGCTCGCGTCGAACAATCCTTGACCCGTGTTTCGTTTCATTGGGTTGACCCGGAACAGAAAACAACGCAGGTCTCTGACCGGCGCCCGGCCGGTCGGGTCGCTGCCAGTCGCCACGCACCCAAGCTTTTATACTGTTCGACGGCTGGTTTAGAGGTGGGAATGGATTTGGGTTATTCATGTGTAATTAGATTCTCAAGTAAATACAAATCGAGATCGTAGAAACATGAGCTTGTGATATAGCTACACCTAATTCCAGACCGGTTAATGCTAGAACTATAAATAAGTGTCCTATGAAATAGAAAATATTACTCAGAAATAGCATAGTCCAAGCAAACACACTTAAAATCTTTACTGAACTATGACCGGCCATCATATTAGAAAATAAACGTATTTCTAAGCATAATGCACGAAAACAATGAGAGATTAGCTCCAGGAGTACTAAAAAAAGTGCTTTAGTTAAACTAGCAAATATGTTTGTGCATTTCAGAAAGAATACACGTTGCAATGAAGGATCCATTTGTTTCCTCAAAAAAAAAAGATGAAGGATCCATTCCGTACTAGAAACTGTTGGAAAATGGCTCAACTTACATGAGTGCCTGTTGTGTATATTTGTTGTGATGTTATGAAAATGAAAACTATCACCCCCGCGTGCGTGAATGCTGGGGGGGGGGCTCGGTTTGGTAAGCAACAACATAAGTAGTGTGGTGCTAACCAATGTTTCGCATCTCTAAATTCCGATGATGATTGATGTTAGAAGAGGAAACAATCTAGGAGAGGTAAAAATAAGGGACGGATGAATTTACGCATTTAATATTAGGAATATATATGCTCTAGATTTTAATGTGAGGACCACAATTTCCTATAAATTCCAGTCGGTTTTTTAATTAAAATATAATGGTTTGAACGTGATGTTTTTAAATTTATGATCTCATTTTTGATGTGGTATCCACATATAGATCTAACCAGAGTTAGATCGGACTGGACATTAGTTATTTTACATTGGATTTGGACGGAGAGTCTTACTTTTTGGATTTTATTAATTGAACTTCTTTATTGGACTTGAATCTCAATCTATTCCCACCTGCATGTTCATTTTTAAAAAGTTTTTATATGCTCTTCTCCATTATTTATTAACATACATGTTTGGCAGCCTTCGTGCTGGCCTTAAAGAAAATATACGATTGGTACTACCCTGTTTTTATGTCCAGGTGTGGGAATGTTACTAACTATATTGTACTCAGTAATATAAAAATAAATAACTAATAATAAGTAAATAAATGAAAGTGTCATAAAAAAGGGATACCTTTACGAGAGGGCTTACCACTACCAACCGACCGGGTTTATTTGCTGAGTTGAGCCAGTCGAAGGGAGGCATACAAATACAATACCTGGGTCTGAGAGGGTCAGCCAGGCAGAAAAGGTTGACGTGGGTCACGCCGCGCCAGGCACAGGCAGGCAGCCGCCCAGATGTTGCCATTGCCGACTTGCCGTGTACGTGACTCGAATTCAAAATTTCAAACACCTAGTTTTATATTGCCAAACCGCTGGTTGCGACCCGGTCCAGATTTATCGCGCCCTATCAGCTGAAAGCCCGAGTGCGTGTGAGAGAGAGGCACATCGTGATACAGTCAGTGGAAACGCCAGTTTGCCGATGGATGTTCACACGGTCCAATTTTTTTGCAATTTAGCCCCTTTTTTTTTAAAGAAAATTCACGTTTAGACCCATGGACGACGTAAACTCAACTTTGGATCATGGGGGCCGAGGTTACACGTCTGGTGCCATGACTCACGGCGCCGAGGTGCCTGGCCCTATTTGTGTGGACGACGATCTGATGCTTACGTGGCACACACCTCGGCGCCACGGATCACGGCGCCGAGGTATTAACCCTATCGTGGCTCAAGCCAAGGTCACTTCTCTCTCTCCTCTCTTGCTCTTCTCGGCTAACCACACCGTCGCCATTGTCCTTTTTGCCGCCCGTCCGCGCCCCACCCGTGCCCTCGCGAGTCCGTGGTCGACCCATTGGTGTCCTCTGAAAGGTCCTTGTTTGGTTTTGGTAATTGCGTGATAATCTAGGTGGACTAATTGTGTTTAATGTGAGATACACATGTGATTAGTCCACAGGTACATGTGTGTGAGCAACATATGCCATAGAGGTGAAATGGCTTGGAGATGTTGCAAAGCTCACAGATGTGATGAAGGAGCTCATTGCATATGAGACATGACATTGAGTCATGTGACTAAGGTGGAGAAGATTAAGACAAGACTTGGCTCGACGGACCGGTTGCAAGTGTGAAGAGCAATTTGATTGATGACTTGGCGCCGATGGACCGAAGCAACGGAGAAGAGCAAGTGAAGTCAAGATCGATGAACCAATAAGGTCATGTGATGATATGAAGTGGATCATATCATTTGTGATTGGTTGGTGCATGTGTTGCATCAACATTAGAGGAGATGGAATAGAATCATAAGGCAAAGGTATATATGTAGGGCATTTCATTTCACCGGTCAAAGGTTGTGTAGAGAAGTATATAACCGGGTTTATGATAGATGGCCGTACTATTAAGAGGAGCAAACTTGTTTGCATATCTGTCATCTAGTGCCACTTGAGCGATCTAACTTTGTATACGTGTTAGGATCGAGTGACGTTGTGAAAAGAGTGCTAATCCTTTGGGAAATATTTGTGAAAAGCTAACACATGTGTATAAAGTGGTATTCACTTGGTGGTGTTAGCACATTTGCAAAGGTTTAGAAAAAGGTGAAGAAGAGGAGGCGAAACCGGGCTCGAAGTCTTTGCTGGTGGCACCGCCACCCTTGACCACCGGCACCGCCACCCTAGGGCGGTGCCCACCAGACCGAGGCCGACAACAGTGAGTGGGTGACTTGGTCACTACCGTGTTCTCGTGCACCGCCATGTGGAGGGCGGTGGCACCACCAGGCGTTGTCCGGTGCACCGCCCCTTTTCCGGACGAGAGCGAGGACCATGGCTTGGTCACCGCCTGGGCACCGCCATGCCTAGGGCGGTGCACCGCCCTATTTTTCCGAGAATAAGGTTTTCACGGGGTTGGCCTGGGTGGTCACTACCACCCCTGTCGTTGGAATTCGACCGCTGGGAGGGGCACCGCCATGTCCGGTGACAGGCACCGCCATGTCCGGTGCCCTCACACAAACCAACAGCTTTGCTCCAACGGCTCTATTTGGCTTAGAGGCTATAAATAGAGGTGGATCTCGGGCTGGTTGCTGAGCAGCCTTAAGCCTTGGTGGCTTTGTGTAGGTGTGCTTGGAAGCCCTCTAACTCGCTTGTGCTTGCAAAAGTACGATCCGATTGCGAGTGAGTATGATTCTAGTGTTTTACATCGTGAGGTCGCATCGAGTGGCACTAGGTGATCGAGTTGTAAGCTGGTGGTGCTTGTTACTCTTGGGGTTGCCACCTCCTAGATGGCTTGGTGGCTTATGAATCCATTGAAGCATGCAAGAAGATTGTGCGGTGCTCCGAAGGAGAATTTATGAGGGGGATTGTGCTCACCCGTGGGAAATCGTGAAGAGCAACTCTAGTTGAGCGTGTCATTGAGCTACCCTCATTTTTGGTAGGTTCTTGTGATGCCCGACATACAGGCTTGGCGGGTGATACCAATTAGCCGCCAAACCACCAAGTGAGCGGTCGACACAATGGGGACGTAGCTTGGTGGCAACCTAAGTAAACCTCAGGAGAAAATCACCGTGTCAACATTGTCTTCATCATCTTCTCGGTGGTTTGCATTCCGCGAAACACAAGCTTGTATTTTCATTTTATACATTGTGCTTGTGTAATTGCTCTTGTAATTAGTTTGCTTGTGTAGCTTGCTAATTACCTTCTTGCTTATGTAGCATAGAAGTAGCTCCCTTGCGTGGCTAATTTGGTTTTAATAACATTTTTAGTCACATTGCTTAGTTTGTGTAGCTAAGTAATTTGAGCTCTCTAATTTTGTTTGTGTAGCCTTGTTATTGAGCATTGCTAGTGAGCTTAGGATCTTTGTGCTTTTGCTTACTAGAATTGTGTAGGAGCTCCTCCTTTGCTTGAAGTACTAGTGCATAGGTTTGTGTGACCTTGCTCTAGAATTGTTTAGGTGAGCTCTAACTTTCCTGGCACCTTTGTTGTCTAATTAGGATCTTGATCAGGTGTTTGTGAACTTAGGTAGAGGGGTGTAGTCTTGGCTAGACCGATAGTTTTAATTTCATATTTGTTTCGGTTAGCCGGCGTAATTAGATTTTAGAAAGGACTATTCACCCCCTCTAGTCCGCCATCTCGACCCTACACCCTCGTAGCCCGTGGCAGCTCGGGTAGGCCGCGGCCGACCACCGTCGCTACGTCCCCGTCCCGGCCGCCCTTGTGGCCCCCTTCCCTCCTTCGCTCGCTAGAGGTCCCACCTGCCGGCGAGCCACCGGCCCCCACGCCCCCTGCCCCATCGTCACCCCACTCCTCTACGCCCCTAGCCCCTCCGATACCTGCAACAAGGTAAATTTTTTTAAAGTTAAATTAGTTAGTCTACTTTAGATAATTTAGTTAGTAATTTATTTAGAATATTTAGCAAATTTAGCAAATTTAATTACATAGGTAGGTAGATAGATACTTAATTATTTAGTTATATTATAGACTTAGGAATATATTTATGTAGCTTATTTAGTTAGATTAGATTGTTAGAGAGATAGGCAAT